ACGAATAATTCGGTATATCTAAGGTACACTTGATTATGGTCTCCATCTCTACCCATCTTCAATGTCGTCTCTTGTTTCTTATACTGATGCTGATTGGGGAGGTTGCCAGATACGAGGCAATCTACATCTGGTTATTGTGTATTTTTGGGTGATAATTTGATTTCTTGGTCTTCTAAGAGACAACCTACTCTATCTAAATCGAGTGCTGAGGCCGAGTATAGGGGTGTAGCCAACGTCGTACCTGAGTCATGTTGGTTACGAAACTTGCTTTTAGAGCTACATCGTCTGATTGAAAAGGCTACAATTGTTTATTGTGACAATGTGAGTGCTATTTATTTATCGGAAAATCCGGTGCAACATCAACGCAGCAAGCATATTGAAATGGATATTCATTTTGTACGAGAAAAGGTTGCTCGTGGTTAGGTTCGTGTTCTGCATGTCCCTTCCCGATATTAGATTGCGGATATTTTTACTAAGGGCCTACCTCGAATTTTGTTTGAAAATTTTCGTGACAGTCTCAGTGTCCGACAATCTCCCGCTTCGACTGCGAGGTGTGTTAAGATATATGTGAATATATTTTGTCATTGTATTTTAGTTAAGCATATATTTAGATTGATATGCATATAATCGGTTACCTAAATATATGCCTTGTACTTTGTATATATTGGGAAGTCAGTGAATGAAATCCCTTGAGAAAAATATTTCATCAATTCTATTACTTGGGAAATGAGCGGAAGAACATGCAAAGAGGACACAAGTATTGACAAACAACAACAGATCGAGCTCAACAGAACACTAATAGTCATGAACATTGAACAATAAGGGAGGGAACAAAAGACAACAAAGTAAAAAAAAAAATAGAGACCTTTCTTACCGTCAACTCCAAACAATAAGGGATATGGGATAGTAATTAATTAATCAATTTATTAATTTAGTTTCAAAATAAAAGGCTACTTCTTAATGATTATCAGCGCTTTTTTAGTGTGATACATCCAAAAAAAGAAAAAAATATAATCATCAAATGTAAAAGTATTTCAAGGAAATGGAAGAATAATTCACTTGGCTATTTATTAAAAAAAAATAAAAAATCACTTGACTGTTATTGAACAAGTCCTTGACCCTCTTCTCATGAGCTTCAACGTGTTGTCAAGTAACATCTTAACTTCGATTGTCACTGGACGCGATGGATGACTAAAACAAATAAGATTGAGTTCCTCCAAAACAAATGAGTTTCTCAAAAAATATTTAACCACTTCCATTTCCCATTCTGTACACAAGTAGTCGTATATTGTGATTCTTTTGAGTTGAACCATTAAACAAGATGGTATTTCTTCAGTTTTACTCCGTGCCTCACATTCCTCCAGGAATACCTCCCTATATCTCTCTTCTAATACATCGTTGCCACCCGTGATTCTCTGCGGAGCAGATCGGAGATTGATATAGTCAATATATATCATTTTCGTACTAATAATAGTAGTAATACTATCTCCGTTAATTTTTAGTTGCAATAAAGGAATTATGTATGTCTCACGGATAAAACCCCTTTGTTACTACTAAAAATTAACGGAGATAGTAATCATAATAATAATCCAGTTAAAGTTAGTACTTCGTATATGAATGGATACTTGAATAGTGAAAGTCAAGTTGTAGCGATTAAATAATTGAAAGAAGAGTAAAAGTAAAAGGCACTAACCTCTGTAAAAGTAAGTGTTGCTAGAAAAGGTGCACGGTGTAGGAGCTCTATTACCTGGAAAATCACGAAGAGATTGTGAAGTAATGTAATTTATATGTATCCAGCAATCAGCATTGAGTACCAAGTCTTGGAGGGATGGACAACTAGCAACTAGCCTAAGCACGGAGTCATTGTTAGGGGTGTGCTTGAGAAAAGTAAGATGGACTACCTTCAAGTTTGGTAAACGAATACGAATAGAATAGGGGATGTTGAGATCAAGATTATTAACATTAACATCGAGTTTCAACACCTCTAGTGTTGCACAAGCTATAATGAAGTGTTCAATAGCAACTATAAAGGGGGGGTTGAATTGTAGTATGGGTAAAGTAGTAGATTTTTTTTGGAAATTAAACGATGTAAAACAATAGAGAGAGATGATATGGGTTTTTCGAATTTCCACTATGTAAGTCAAACTCTTTTACAAGTGAATAATAAACCCGGTACAAGTTCCACAAGAACGGAACTTAGCTTGTTCCCAACTCTCTCAGAAGTTTCGACTCTGTAACTTCCTTTACCTCACAAGTTACAACTCTCACAAATATCCCAAGATCTTAATTACAATAAGTAATACAAGAGCTATGCTCTAGAGAATATAAGAAGTAATTTGAAACCCTCTTCACGCTATTACTCGCTGGAATATTTTTCTCAAGAATTTTGTGTTGCTAAGATTGATTGCATGGGTTTTTATAGAGAGCAAGCTTAGTCAATAACTTCCCACCATAACCACGTACACATGTCAACACTCCCACTAACATGTTGTGGAGTAAACGTGACAAGTGGTGATCATGGGAAGTTTCCTAAACTTGCCCATCAATCCACTACAATCTTAACAATCTCCTATAATGTTGCCATTGAAAGGAGTATGATAAAAACGGTTATTAGACTTAATCAAAATGATAATTTGTTTAAAAAGATATATTATAAAATACTTTATTTATCAATAATATAAAGTAGATATTTTTGTTAAAAAGATAATAACTAAATTAGATTAATTTATTTATTAAAAAAGACAATAAATTAATTTGATTAATTTATTTATAAAACAATAATATAAAATATCCTATTTACTTTTAAACAAACTTCTTAAAGCAGTGTTTATCATATTTCTTCAAAACTAATTCCAATTGAACGTTATTTATTTTAGCCTTAATAATAACGTGCCTCATCGAGTTCCAAACCAACTTATATTCCAAGTACTTACAAATAATCAAGAATGTGATTTTGAACGTTGTACTTGCGCGAATGCTACTCCGCATTCCTGATTTTGTGTTCCTACTCCGGAATGACTACTCCGCATTCCTGATTTTGTGTTCCTACTCCGGAACGATCCTTGTTGCATGAACCTTTCATTTACCAAAGACTTAAAATACTCATTAGTCAAGTTTGTCAGTTTGTTCATCAAAATCATAAGGGTCGACATATAATGTCAAGCACCTTAACCCCACGGGCTAAGGGAAAACTGATCCAAGCATCAAGATGCACAGGGTCCAATACGGGGAGACAACCTTCGAAACATCGAGGATATATCCATATTGTTAGGGTGACATAGTTGCAATACCTTATCAACATACATCTTGAAATTAGGGAAAGAATCAATCATATGTGGACTTCGCATCAAACAATAGTCGTAACAATTAGGTGTATCATCCAAGTTAAGGTATGTTACCCAAGTAAAAACACGCCTCTATCGCCTTGACAATACACTCGTAGCAACCGCGTCCTTTAGGGGAAGGAATGCAAGTATGTCACCTAATATATGATCGGGTAAATGGCGGATCCTATCTTTTTTTATGAGGGTTGTACCTTCATTCCCATTTTGGAGCTTGTTGAGCATCATTCCACCACAAAATTCCAAGACACCTAAAAATTACAAATAGAATGACTATTATAATTATCATAGACAATACCAATTAGTTGTTGGTACAGTGGTGATTGAGACTGCACTTGGTATAGAAAACTTGTGTTCGATCCCCCACATCAACAATTGGGAGAGGACTGAAACCTAACCACCTAGAACTAATCTCGAATTCGAATTAACACAAAAGGTGAACTGGGTGGAACACCAAAAATAAAATAAAATATTATCATAGACAATAAATAAGCATACATATATAGTACCTTATATCCATTAGATACTAATGAAGTATCCATAAGAAAAGATAAACACATAAATTTTGTGTAACCAATTGTCAATTCCCAGCGACATTTATCTTCAACTATGTTAGTATCATAAACATTTAAATTGTTTATTTATAGAGACGAAGATTCCAATTGAGTATGGTTTTTTTCCTGATACGAATCGATTAATTGTTAAGGTCAAATTTGCTCTCTTCAAATGAAAAGTTCTATTCTTTAAAATTATTCATGATAGATTAACACACTTAAAATTGCACAAATGAATACAATAACACATTCAACAGAACAAATTAAATCTATATTATGGATTAAATAATTAATGGCAATAAATTCATCAAACAAATTTTATTTTGAGTTACCTGAATGATACTCTGGAGGTGGATCTGCATGTAATATACTCATTAAAATTAGGTTTTTTTTTTTCTAGAGTGAAATCCTAACTTTTTTTATTGAGATGAAAAATGAGGGATAGCTCAGGTAGCCTATTCAGTTAACCAAACAACATTTATTGATCCAATCTTTCGATTGTTAAGCAATTATATTTCAACCCTAACCGGTCACCAACATAGAGTATCAAGTCACTTGTCACGTGTCACATTTTAATTCGTCCATTTTTTAGAATTATATTTCAATTTAATTATTTTTTGACAGTAGTCAAACAAACTGAAAAGCGAGGGAGATGTACACTAAGCACTTTTCCTAGCCTTGACGGCTAGACAGTCTGCATTAGTTACATCACCTTTAGGAACATAGGAGCGGCATAAATAATTGAGGAGAATGTCGAGCACTAGGTTTTTGACGTTCAAATTCGAATCAACGGGGTTTCTGAGGAAGTTAACTACAACTCTGCAATCTGTTTGCACCTCTATGTTTCTAGAGATCTCATGTCCTTTGATATCTTACCAACTGTATAAAGTTAAAAAAAGTCTGACTGGTCTCACATCCTACCATCGACCTACGTCATTTTGGCGGTGTTTTTAAGGTGGGTCAACACCAGAAATTAAGTCAATGATTGAAATTCGCTCAAAAATGGAAAATTTGACTTTTAATATGGTAGTTTCTTACAACAAATTTTTATCAGATACTCCGTACTATACTTCGGTAGTATCTTACCAAATTTGGATTTCATAAAATAATTTTTCGTAAAAAATCACAAAATATATAAAAAGTCCACTCGGAAATAAGTTTAACTAATAGTAGTAAGGAAATTGTAATCCTCCACGGTCAAAATTAGCAGCCAATTTTAAGTCTTGAATAATTGATTGAAATTTGTAAAGGTAATAACTACTGTATTATTCTGGGTTTCCAATTTTGCAATAAACTCTGTTTAACAAATTTAATGCACCCAAAAAAGCTGAACATTGAATGGTTTTGCTCACATTATCTCCACCAACTTAGATCCTGTGCCAAACTCCAATCTCTCTCCTCTGGCCAAAAACTCCATACCCAGATCACCAAACTTGGTCTCCATCATTATGGCCCAATACCCAACTCCCTAGTTGAAATGTATGGCAAATGTGGTGTTATTGATCATGCCCTCAAAGTGTTCGACGAAATGCCTCAAAGAGATCCTGTATCTTGGGCTTCAATTCTCACTGCTTATAATCATGCTGGTTTTCCCCATAAAACGCTTTCTTTGTTCCTTAGAATGTGGGAGCTTGATAAGTTACTGCCTGATCATTTTGTGATTGCTAGTCTTGTTAGGTCCTGTGCTAGCTTGGTTGATGTTAGGCTTGGTAAACAAGTGCATGCTCATTTTGTTCTGTCACCCTTTTATGAGGATGATGTTGTTAAGTCGTCGCTTGTTGATTTGTATTCGAAATGTGGGTTCCTTGACTATGCTAGGATGGTTTTCGATTCGATTAAGGTGAAAAATACGATTTCTTGGACGGCTTTGGTTTCGGGTTATGCTCGAATTGGACGGAAAACTGATGCTGTGGAGCTTTTCAGGAGGATGCCTGGCAGGAATTTGTTGTCTTGGAGTGCTTTGATATCTGGGTTGGTGCATAGTGGTCATGGGAATGATGCTTGTAGTATCTTCAGGAATATGAGAAGAGAGGTTGATCATGGTGCTGACCCATTTATTCTTTCAAGTGTTATTGCAGCATCTGCTAATATGGCAGCACTACAGCTAGGGAAGCAATTACACTGCTTGGTTATATTGCTCGGGTTTGAACGTAATTTATATATCTCCAATTCACTCGTTGATATGTATGCCAAATGCAGTGATCTTTTAGCAGCAAAAGGCATTTTTTCATATATATCCAATAGAGATGTCGTGTCTTGGACTTCCATCATAGTTGCAATGGCACAACACGGCCAAGCAAAGGAAGCATTGGCGCTATACGATGAGATGGTCATGGATGGTGTAAAACCTAACGAAGTGACATTTCTTGGGTTGATTTATGCATGTAGTCATGTAGGTTTAGTTAACAAAGGTCGGCATTTCTTTAATACAATGGTTCAAGATTATGGAATGAAGCCCTCGTTGCATCATTACACATGCTTATTAGATGTTCTTAGCCGTTCTGGTCACCTTGACGAGGCTGAAAAACTCCTAAAGACAATGCCATATAATCCTGATGAAGCTGCTTGGGCTGCTCTGTTAAGTGCTTGCAGGAAACACAAAAATACAGAGGTTGCTATAAGGGTTGCTGATCATTTACTGTGCTTGGGGCCTGAAGACCCTTCTTCTTATATTTTGCTTTCTAATACATATGCTTCTGCTTCTATGTGGGATAATGTGTCTAAAGTTCGCAAAATAATGTCTACAACATATTTGAAGAGAGAGCCTGGTTATAGCTGTATTGAACTTGCAAAGGTTAGTCAAGTGTTTTATGCAGGGGAGACATCTCATCCTATGCAAGAAAAACTTATTGGTTTGCTTGAGGAGTTGGATTTGGAGATGAGAAAAAGAGGTTATGTTCCAGATACTAGTTATGTTTTACATGAACTGGAGCAGCATGAGAAGGAGAGACATTTGTTGTGGCATAGTGAAAGGTGGGCTGTAGCATATGGCTTGCTTAAATCAGCTCCTGGTACCACCATACGCATAGTGAAAAATTTACGAACTTGTGGGGATTGTCACATGGTTTTAAAATTCATAAGCAGCATCGTAAAGAGGGAGATCATTGTTCGAGATATCAACAGGTTTCATCATTTTAAGGATGGTAGCTGTTCTTGTGGTGATTTTTGGTAGGCACTTACAAGCTGAGTATCTGTATACAGGACGTAATCTACCTCTTCATTGCTCAGGAACTCCATTAAGGAGTCTTATAAAGGTTTATAGCACCCTTTTCTTAAATCTTCATATTTATGGTACTCTAAACACACATACACACCATTACGCTGTCCTTTGAAGTCTTAACTCCTGATGATCCCCGAATTGTGTCTTTGGTTTGTCCGCCAAAATCTTAACTATTGCCTGATGATCCCTAAATTCTGTTATTTGTTAACTTTCTATTGATCTCTGATTCAAGAACCCCAATATCAATTTTCATGAAGCTATTATAAGAGTTTTAACACTGAAGCATTTTCTGACGAAAAAGTTGTGCTCCTTTTCCATCCCTCAGAAGGTTATTAGTTTACAGAAAGAACACATACTTGGCCTTCTCTACATGATCTCCTTTGTCCTAAGTCAGTAATCCATCATTACTCTAGTACATTAGAAAAATTGTATTCTTCTTAGGAGTTAGGATGGCAACTATGTATTTCTTCAGAATAACATATGATCAATATTGTCTGCTTGTAACATGTGATAAAATGCATCTGTTATTTTGTTTGTGTTGGATCTTTGTTAAAAGGAGATGAAGTTAATATTCTGTGTCTCTATCTTTAAATCAATTATTCAACAAACAGAATCAAAAGTGATGTTGTTCCCTTAACTATGTAACAAGTCTTAGTTAGTTCCATTATCGGTTTACCAATATGAAGTCCCATTCTCTTAGAGGTGCATCCTGTTTGTTTAGAATGAGAACGTAACTGGTTGGCTGTTTTCAATGGTTATTTTGATTTGTCCATGTTAGTTTTCATAAAGAGAAATATAGGAAGGTGACTCTTCACTTAGATATCTTTTTTTTTTTTTTTTTTTTTTTTTTTTTTTTTTTTTTTTTTTTAATTCCTGAGCCTAGAAGGACGCTATTGAAGATGCCCTGGCCAGTTTCCAACCCGTCATCTTGGTTCTTGAGGATGTTGCTCGGAGCGAGGCAGAGATTGAAAGAGCCTTGAAGGTAACTCATCACTTAATTATTGCATGTTTTGATGTTTAGGATTTATGAGATCATATTTGGGAAAGAATTAGATATGTTATTGTAGATTAGGGATAAGGTTACTAGATTTAATAATCGATACTGTTTAGTTTATAATATTTTTCTCATAGGAAGATATTTCTCATGAATGAAGAAAAGTAATGTATGGAGATGTCTAGAAGGACATTATTGAAGGCATGAAATCTTTTACTCTGTAATCTATAATTTTCACACCTTTTTTAAAAAAAAAAAAATTCTAATTTGTTCTTCGAATCATTTGGGCTTCTTGGGTAACAATCTGTTAAATAGTGTCAGATAATTGATTTATTTCCTGAGGATGGGAAATTATGGGGTTTTAATGGGGTGAATGGAAGACTGGAGTAGTTTATCTAGATACATATATATTTGGTGATATATAATAAGACACTGCTGAAAGCTTGAACTATAGTTGCCTGCTTTAATGATTATTAGGGAAAGAATCATGAATTTTAGTTAATTTATAACTCTTAGGGTTGATCGATTGATAGAGAAGTCACTAGAGAGAATAAAGGGTTTAACTGTGGAAAAGTAAACCATTTGTAAGTCGTTTTGTAGGGTTCAGCTACTTTATTATACAATATTTGCATAGGGCTTGTGGCTTTGATGTCAAAGAGTTAATGTTATCCGTAATTTCGCTTTGATGGTTGGTCATTGTAGAAAGCTTTGATGATCAGCTATAGTGAGCCTTTCTTGAATGGTCATCCCAAACGTGGGACTGTGGGAGGTGGAGGTGGCTTGAAGAAGATAGTGAGACTTGCTTATGGGTTATGAGCACATACTTGTCTCCTTTATCGCTTCCTTGCGCATTGAATTAGTAGTTGAGGGTTCAACTGAGTGATGATTTCTGACAGAGATCAGATGTGGTGTCCTAGCCACCAATTCGCTGGACCTTTGTTAGGTGTTGTGAGTTGTGACAAGGGCATATCGCGGAAAACACCTTAATGCTGTAAGAGCTCAGTTGGGAATTGTGTTGGGCAGGAAGTTGTGGTGACATCCAGTGCATTAGTAGAGTTTGACATTGAGAAAGAAAGTGACGAAGCAGATTGGTTGTATAGATAAGTGGGGTGATGAAAGAAAAGATTTATTTAGAGAAATATTGCCTTTATTTCACTAATTTTATGTGTAATAATACTCCCTCTGTTTTCCCAATTTCGACAATTCTCCATTTCTCACTTTAATGAGTTTAACAAGATAAAAGAGCCTTCTACAGAGAATGAAGGAGACTCTAACTTCCAATCAAACTCCAAAGCCCCGGATCCTGCTGAATTTAGCTTTTATGCACTTGTTTTTGAAACAGGCAAGTGAGGGAGAGAGGGGGTGAGGCAAGAAAAGAGAAGGTGTGAATGAGCGTTAAGGTGTAGAGTATGTTAATTGACAGCCAAATAGTGGGTAGAGAGGCTTGTAATCACTCACTTTTGTAGCTTCTGTGTGGGAACAGATAAATAAAATCCCTAAGAAATGAATTGTAAATGGTCATATTTTGATTTGTTTGCTTGTTGTTGTCCTGATGCCTGATGGCTGATTTCTTGATATCTACCATCTCATCATGTATTTAGGTATCAGTGTGAGAAGAACAGATAAATAAAAGCATCTAGAAGTGTACCTTCTCTTGTAGTTTAGGTTGTGCTCAGCAAGAAAGGAAAATGATGTCTGCGTTCAGGTCTCATTTTACCAAATTTCTATTGTCAGACAAAAGGAGATTTTGTGCATTATATTCTCGTTATGTTCAATTGGTCAAATTTGAGTAAGCAATATTGTTACACTCCTGGATGTTACTCTTTAACCGCTTGATCTTCTGCTGACTGTCTTGATTGCAGCAGGGCTGTTCCTATTGTTAGCAGTTTTGTTATTCTTGGATAGTACGAAGTATATTTGCTTGTTTGTAATCTTTGTACTGCATAGTTTCGTGTGTCTTTATTCTCAGCATGTTACCATGTTTTTAATTACTAGCATTACTCCTATGTAATAAAAACAATGTATATTATGAAGTATAATCATGCTATATATCTCAGATGTGAGGATTTAGATCCATATTCTAAGTGACTAAGTCTCTATCGAGTAAATGGAAACAGAACAAGTTGTTCATTTTAAAAAAATGATCTATGTGTAGGCACAGAAAATTATAAAATTTGTGTTTATAGTATATTACTGTGATACCTTAGCTTCTTCTAGACAATGTTATATAGGGACTTTAACTCTTACAGGAAGCCAACATGTTGCTTGACGGTTTTTTCTCTCGGTGACTCATTCCAACCGTGCTTATAATTTTAGCATTATAAATTGATTATAGTGCATACGAGAATTTGATTTGGTTAATCTTTCTATGATGTCTTTGCAGAATTCATCTGCTGCGACTACAAGGCAAGTTATGGTGACGATGGCTGGCTGATTATGTTTGTTGACTAATGCTTTGAATATTATGTAACTAATCTACAATGTTAAAATTGTTTCAGGATGTTTAGCTTAAATAGGAGGAATACAATTGTATTTTTGTCCTACAAAGCTAAAGAAGACTTGAATGATGGGAAAAAAAAAGAAAAAGAACCCGGTAACAAGAGATTTGAAGGATGGAGTTAGATTTAAAGGAAAAAGTTTCAACTTTTCAGATTTGTTAAGTTGGATTGGTAATGATTTAAGTATGGGAATAGGTTGTGTCTAATGACATGTATTAAACTTTGAATGTCATTTTGTTGTTGTTCAGGCTTTTATGGGTTGAATTGTGACCAAAGATACTTTTTATTATGTTTGTTGACTTTCTAGCAATGACTGGTTAAGGTTTGGTAACATGATAGCTGATTTTCCCTTATTGCTTCATGTTATCTTCTTTTGTCTACAAAACATTGGTTTTCAAAAGTGCCCTCTAATTACTCTTATGTAATACTAATGCTTTGAATTAAATGCCTAAATATAACAATATTTTTTTAACAAATATATACCAATAAATTTTTTTATTTCACAAAACATATACAAGTGTATGCCGTATGAATAATCCCTGTGCTCTTTAATTATGACTAAACAGCATTGTGGGGGGTGGGAGATTAAGGAGCCCTTGTGATGAGAAGAAAACAAGAGAGAACCCAAAAGCAGAAAGTAACAATTTGTAACTTCCTAAATGGCAAAGTATTAGATTGATTAAGGAACAAAGGAAGTATTGCCTTATTTCTGACAGGAAAGATTTGTGCCTCCCTCCACAGAAGCAGCCTGCAGATATAGCTGACATACAACAATACACAAGTCTCAGCCCCACCACATACATAGTCATAAATCATAACGGGCCTATACTGACAGCTCTCACTCCCCCGGTGTACAAAGACTACAGCCTCAGAGTTTTAACCCAGGAAGCAAGAATATGCACACTAACAAGTCATTACCAAGTCACTTAACCACATAATCTCTGCCTTCCCCTTTACAATTCCAATGAAACAACCATAAGTTATCCTTTTATTCTTATTCTCTAGCTTTTTTTCCCTTTACCATAATAAGATTCTGGATGGAGAAGTACGGCAGCAAAAATACATTATTTACTGACGAGATATGCTTCAAATACACATCAAGATTCCCAAAATACAAATCAGCATGCAACAGTATGAAGAATCACCACGGCATCTAAAAAGAAAGTTGGAGCAACTGACAATATTGACTTACTCTTGATGAAAATTCACAAGCTCGGTAAAATCACGTGAATCTTGGATATGAGTTTGTAAAATATTCCATTGTGACTCTATGACATCCACCTGAAGAAAGACATGCAATAAGTTTAACAAGATAATCCTCAAATAAACTCAGAAGGAGAAGCTAATAAGCACTGTAAGGAATGCAGAAACCATAGCCTGTTAAGGTCATCTATAATCACAAGAAGTACGCAGGACGTGCAACATTTCTGCTTCTTCGGTCCAGTTATATTTGGAGACGTGCGGGTGGGAACTACAAAGTAACAGAGGCAACTTCGCCAATAAAGAAGCCATACTTAACACATAGAAGTCTATGCTAGTTCAATTTTTATAATTTCTTGCCAGTGGGAGCATCTAGAGTCATCTATCTATACTTATGCTTCTCTTTCTCTAGTTTTCTTTGGATATTACTATATTAGTGAAGGTTAGATAGCACTTGGAGCCCTCGAACTCACTATAGCCAATTGAGTTCATCATGCAATTGAAACTCTGATCAAACTATTTGCATCAAATGGGCATAAGAGTGCACATGTACACTGATATATTTTCATGAAGGCATGCCACGCCATTACCCCAGTTCCTCTAATGAGGGCATGCCTATGCAAGAGATTTATTCGAGTAGAAAAAATAATAAAAAATAATAAATAAAAAAAAGACAAGAATGGAGGACAATACCCTCAGATATTTGACGTATCTTACCTGGATATAAAACTGTAGATTCCTAATCAAAAAGGCCATATGTTCTCTAACCCGCCACATTGGTCTAAAACGTTGTCGCCTCTGCTGAGATGTAGGGCACTTAATACGTTCATTGCGATGTTTCGCAAAATCACTATGATCTTGATGCATCACTGAAGCCCATGACTTCTCCAACTCCATTTGTGTCCGTTTAAGGCGTAACAGATACTGAAAAACACGACAATATCTGCAGATTCAGCAGTGAACATATGTTAATAAAAGGGTGGGGATAATTCTTTCACCAATCAACAAATTTCACAAGAAAACAGAAATATATGATACATCCTTCAACAAAATCATAAGAGGGAGTTATTATTAATCGGATATGGTAATGGTATCCACTGTAGAAAAATCCATAGAAAAATCTGAATGCTATAAGGTCAAGGCTTACTTAGACAGCACTTCTTGTGTGAAAAATAATTGCAGGGGCCAATCAATAGAATACTCAAGAGTTATTCCATCCCAGCCATCCACATCCGCTGTAGTGTTTGTTGAGGCAACACTAGAAGTTCCACTGGAGTAAGATTTTGATTTAGCATCCGCTTGTGTTGATTTTACAGCAACTCCGATAGAAGGCATCCTAGAGGTCATCATAAACTACATTAAATGTCAAGGAATAAAGCAAACAGAACCTACAAAAGTCCAAAGTGAAAGGAATACCTAAAAAGCTTTGTGTGTGTGTGTGTGTGGGAGGGGGGGGGGTGTCATAAAAAAGAGAGTGAGGCATTGATAAGCTTGAACAATCAAACGTTACAAGAAAAAAATGAATGAAGTGTGCGTGTGAGAATAAGAAATTTTCCAAGTACTTCGTTCTAAAAAGTTCAACTAATGAAAAGATTAGCACAAGCTCCCACTCAAAGCAATACAAGGGCAGAGAAGTTGTTTCTACAATATTTCAGTTACTCTACAATGTAGTAGCACTTAGAAGTATAGGCAAGATTTATAAGTCACTTTAATCCAATGAATTCGTGGAACACAATATACAGACACATTTATAAGTCACTTTATTCCAATAAAGTTATGAAACACAAAGTATGGACACATAAGAATAAGATAATAACATGTACAAGAAAGTTTTCATGGGGTAACTTAAAGAATTTTTGTCTTCACAAGCATCACTCAATACGACAAAAATAATTTGAGACAATAAAATTGAGAATTATGCTATCCTTGACGAGAGGGTTGATGTGAGTGGACTCAAATGGCCAAAGTCCAAGCCCACTTGCACTACCAATCCGGGTGTACACTAGGAGGCACAAACTGCAGCAAGGCAAAAGCAACAAAGAAGTGCAGCCAGACGTGGGAATGAGGACAAGGATCATTAACCACTAAGGAAAGTAGCAAACAACCTGTTTTCTGACAGTTTGATTCTGTTCAGTAGTAGACAAATAGTCATTAAGAGGGAATCGCTTTTGTAGTAAGAATTGTAATATTGGGGGGGGGGGGGGGGTAGATGGGTATGCTTTTGAGAATTTAGACAAATGTATTGAGATTGGTAACCCTCAAGTTACCCATGGGAGTGATAGTTGTCAACTTCTTGTAAACCTTTTGTTTCAATCAATCAATCATCAAGCTTTCCGCCTATTTTTCTGTTCAATTAGCTACAGTTGCTTAGTTCGAATTTCAGTCCATTACACAGAGAATAGTGTATTACAATTTTTTTGGGGGTACGGTCATAGTGTCTTCTTGGCTTCCGGAGGACGGATGGTCCTCTTTGTCTTGGCCTCAAAGTTTGATCAGTAGTGATGCAAACAGTTTTACCACAAGGAATGTCAAAACCTCAAAGTTATAAAGGAAAAATTACCAAATTGCATAGCAAATCAAAAAAATAAAAAAGAAGTCTGAACAAAGACACAAATCAAATTCTTCAAAACTAGACTACTGTGTCGTAGTGAAAACCTAAAGTAATACTTGAACTTCTAAGGGAATGCTAATTTGCTAAGAGAGTACAGGCTCTCACCTTCATGATACTCTGGAAAAATATTTATCTTCATCGCTGATTGTCTTCACTGCAGCCTGCATCACAAAGAAAGAAAACCATTATCACCACATAATCAAATAGAAATTACTGGGAGTTAGCATATCCACAATTCTACAGCAATAACAACTTTTATGTTGTTTTATCACCAATAATCCATCAATCTAGGAATTTTTACTTATTTGATTCTCTTCTGGGAGCTAATAAGTAATAACCTTTAAGTGTTGAGACTATGCAGAATTTTTTCAATTTATATCAATAACTTTAGCCCCATGCTCTCTTTGGGAAAACGTTCTGCTTAGGATTGGCATTTGCTAGTAATTTTACAAGAATTTTTCAATATGCTATCACCTCTATTTTATATTTTCTATGTTATTTTTTATTTTAATGCCCCAGTTTGACATTTTGCACCATTCACATACTCCACTTTGACCATTGTTGGTGATTTATACATAATAAAAAACATAGTCATGAGGGTTCTTGTTAGAATCGTCTCAAAGTATATTGCATAGTCTCAACTCTCAAAGTACTTCCCCCCCCCCTCCAAAATTTCTTCCCCACATCCTTTCAGGTGTAGACTAAAATCAAACCAAGGATTACTGATTTGCCACCCTGGAACACGGATTTTTTACTGACTTGCCCAGCATGCAAAACCCAACACAAAAAATCTGCCTTTGAAATGGAATCTGGTCTTCAGTCACTCCAAACAATCCTTAATCTCATCCTCTGTTTAGATCTATGAAGCTGGGTAAAGATCAATTGATAACATGACACATCCACATGCCCATAGCCATAGCCATCAAAAACCACCTCTTACAACTTTACAAATTACTTGTATTAAGTCAATGTTTTGGTGGAGAATAATTTACAAGAGTTGTTTTAACAAATTTTTATTTCAAAAGAAGTAATGAGTGTTAAACGTTATCTATTCATTCAAACAACTTTTTTTGACCCTCATTGACAATTGCAAATAAAATGAATTTGATGTGCTAGAATAACTAACTATTCACTAAGTGTGGCTTATTGTTTGTTTATGTGGTCAACAATTAATACTAATTCTTATACGAATGATGATACATTGATGTGTGATGGCGATAACGCCATAGTGAGAGCTGTTTTTGGTGATTTTATCTATCATATTGTTTTCATTTGACTATTTAACCTTTAAATTTTAAACCTCACTTGTATTTTATTGAGATATTAAGCTTTTTTTAATTAAATTTTGGTAGATAATTTGTACTTGTTTTGTACTCACTCGAGTATGGCATAACACCCCTTCTACTTCCACTGTTTTATTATACATGTCATCATAAATCCAAGAGTAATTGAGTTAATTCCAAGGTGTTACAATTTTTGACAATATAAAAGTTTATTTTGAAAAATTTCAGACAAAATAAGTTTACTTTGAATAATTTCAGTTTATTTCTGACAATTTTAGAAAAAAAAGTTTATTTAAGACATTTCAGATTATATCAAAACCAATATCAAATAAGTTCAGACAAAAATATATTTCAGATGAGTCCTCACAAAATAAACTTACTCCGTTTTTTTTTTTTTAATAAAACGTTAGGAGTTTTACACTATTCAGACACACTCCTTTAATCGTCTTTTGTGATTATACATTGGAAAAAATATAGTCATGTGAGATCTTATTAGATTCCGAAATATACTTTCATTATATCAAC